TGGTAACGATAATAAACATGTATTTAGCGTTGGTATAGACAGTCTTTGCGTTTTGGTCAAGTTTAGAAAAACATCCCACTTTGAGTGTATATTTATGGAATAACGGGCTGTCGGACAAATTGACTTTCAGTCCAATGGGAGATCAATGGTTCTGGCCCAGTTTGGTCCTGCAGTGGAAGCCGGCTCACTGAGAGTCTTTGTGTTGCAGAGGACTGATGTGCTGCAGGTAACAGCAGCCATAAAGCTGAAGGAAGCAGGCTATTTAATGGTGTAATAACATTATGTGTTGTTATGGCCGTCAGAGGGGACATTAGCCCGCAGATGTTACCTAGCGAAGAGTCAGCGCCGACCACGGGGAGGGAGGGCGGAGCCTGGGGACATAATGAAGGTAATCTGAGTCATAATGAAGCCCAGCAGCCTCTGCACATAAAACACATAAACGCCTCCGAAAAACCCAGAACGTGCTGCGTTCTCTCTTTAACTCCTTCCTCTGCTTTCAGCTTCACCTCAGCTCTCCTTCCTCTTCCTCACAGCTGTATGCTTCACTGTCTGTTCACTGTCAAAGGATTCATTCATTTATCTGTGTGTATGTTATCTGCTGTGGAAACAGCTGTAATGCAGACAATGTATATTGTACTTTAATATGTTAAAAAGAGGAAGCAGCTCTCAAGCAACTAGAATCGGTTGACAGTGTTTATTTATTTATCATGTTAAAGAATATTTAATCATTTCTTCTTTTAATAAAGTTAATTGTTTAAGAATGCAGCATTCTCGGTCCTTTTTTAGTCATATTGGTGAAAAATCCACATAAAAAAGACTTAAAGAATTCACTATATAAGACGCCATATTGGTTATCTGTGCATTTCCTCTAAAATCGGTCTCAAAAATCCCGTATCGGTCGCTCTCTACTCGCCATCGACGTCCAAAACAAAACAGTCTTTTCAGGGATCCAGCGTAAAATTACACTACACACTGTAGCTGAAACATTAATCAATTAAATAATTTATTTAAGTGTAAATGTTGCTTGTTTTAGATTCTCAAATGTAAAGTTTGGAACCTATGAGGGAGAATTTTTTTTACAATTTTCACACTTTATAGACCAATTGATTAATCAGTTAGTTCAGGCTCAGGTAATAATTTAAACAGGGTTCCCACTTTTTCCAGGACATTTTTTCTTCAATACAGGACAGACAGTTGACCAGTCATTGGCCATGGCTTGCGTTTGTAGCGCACCTTCCAAGTACACCTTTCTCACAGCAGCTAGTTTGACATAAACTAGTTGGGTAAAAACAGTTCTGTTCCATTTAGTGTAGCAAAGCCTTTCCAGTTGGCCAACATGCTCCTTGACTCTGTTTGACCTGAATGAAACGTTAATTAATATCATCGGTAACACCTGTTTTTATCCGACTATTTCATGTAAAAATGGCTGCTGTGAAAAAGGTCTGTTGACTACAGCTTTCCTCTAACTGTAGCATTAATTTTGCCACAGCACAGGATAGGATACAATTAAAAATTCCAGGTCAACACAGATTTTTTCCAGGATTTTTCATCATTTTAATCAATTTCCAGGAGCTTCCTTGACTAGAAAACTAGTCTCAATATTTCCAGGTTTTCCAGGACGCGTTGGGAACTCTGCTGAAGCATTTGAAAAGAACAAATGAGTATGAAACAATAAGAACTTTTAACGCTCTCGTAGTTTCAGGTGGGAATGGGGTCAAACGGATCAGATCTCAGGTGACTGTAAACATCCAGCTCAGATCGGGTCGCGGTAGTGAAACTGTAGCTGCAGGTATATGATATGTGACACAGTTTCAGTATGGAAGCAGTGAGACCTCAGTGACACTGGAGCCCTCCACCCAGAGTCCAGGATCTCCCCGTACAACAATTATGACCGATGTTACATTACAGCAGCGTAGTCCGACCCGAATCAGCTACAGACACAGAAAGCAGGTTTATAATGAGGAGATTATTAATTGTTTAATGCTGAACTGAACTGGTTCAAACATTAGAGTTAGTTTGGTGGAAAAGGGGTCCTACTGGTCCACACAATTGCAGTGTTTTTGAACCGTTCATCTGACCTCCGTCCTGTATCTAACCATCATGAAGTAATGCGTTAGAGAAAGTTCGCTGCCACTAGATGTCACACTGGAGCGCCAGAATCTCAGAACAACAAGTGGGCGCTACAGCCAACCAGACTCCATAGAGAAAACCAGAAATTTTACCTCACAGATAAAATAAAACTCACCAAAACAGTCTTTGTTCATCTTTCCAACAATCACTTAATATGTATGTTTAAATACAGTATAATTTGGGGATATGAATAACTATACTGTATAAAGTTATTTGCTGTATACCAGACTGCTGTGGCAAAAAAACACTTAGTGCAAGTGAACGCGTCAACTATTGCTGATTGTCATTCGAATATGTATATAAATAGACTCCAAATAACCTGTTTTTGTCCAAACAACAGAGATATTCTGTTTACACGATATAAAACAGATAAAAAGCAGTTAATAGAATATCAGTATTTCATTTATTGAGCTCGATTCAACCACAGTTAATACGTGCATTATAAGCAACTTCGCTTCTACTGATTCAGTCATTTTAGTTATTTAAGTGATGAAGAGAAATAAACATTTGTAACTGCGGTGTTGTACTGAAGCCCCGAACACATGAGGAGTTGTTGTTGTTGATGTTTGTTCAGTGTGAATCTAAAGTGTTTGTTAGAAACCAGAGACATGTTTCATTGTTTCCCATCAGGTGTGGCCGAGGATCAGTCTGCCGCCAGACGCCCAAAACAGGTCTGAGTGTTGTTCTGCTGTCGCTGGGCGGAGAAACTGTTTCACCACCACAACAACGCATTCCTGCAGAAAGGGCTGCCGGAACCGAGCCTGAAGAGCACAGCGTTAATTAAAGCTGCAGTAGGTAACTTTTATAAAAATATGTTTTAGTCATATTTGCTGAAACTTTCACTTTATCCTGACAGCAGAACATGAGATGGATAATGTGTGAAAAAAAATCAGGTTCCTCTGGCTCCTTCTAGTGCTCCTAATGCGATTTACAAGAAACCACCGGGCCTGAATGAAAACAACCAATCAGAGCCGAGAAAGATCTAAAAAAAGATTTGGGTTGGAGGCTTGAAAATAGTTGATTGTTCAGTCTCATTCGCAGAGTCCCAAAGCATCTGTATTTGACTCCCTGGGAATGAGACTCAACAGTCTGTCTCTTTCTCAGCTCTGATTGGTTGTTGTGGTTCGGGCCCGGTGGTTTCTTGTAAATGTCATTAGGGGCACTAAGAAGAGCCAGAGGAACCTGATGTGTTCACAGACTATCCGTCTCATGTTCTACTGTCAGGATATAGTGAAAGTTTCAGCAAATATGACAAAAAATATTCTTTATAAAAGTTACCTACTGCAGCTTTAATTTCATTTTTCAAGCAAAAACGTGAAACATTTTCTGTTCCAACTTCTTCAATGTGAGGATTTGCTGTTTTTCTTTGTCATTCATGAGAGTGAAGAAGAGTTTTTCACAATTATATAGACTAAATTAATCTGTTTAGCAATAAAATAAGCAGCAGACTAATCGATATTTAAAGTCAGTTGAATGCCACCAAACAGCCTCTGTTACAGTGTGTGAGGAGTGTGTTTGTTGTATGTTGAGGTGGATAAAGATCAGTACATAACATGACCGCTGGTTGTAAACAACTAATGGAAATTTACTTAATGAAGCTACATAAAGTTTGAATTCTAAGCTCTTCAGACGGCGTGTTTTATCTGATTGCCTGATCAACCCTCAAAGATTTTTACTTTACAATCATTTAAAACTTAAAATGCAGTAAATCCTCAGATTTGAGAAGCTGCAATCACAGAATATCTGATATTTTTGCTCGATAAACAACTAAAAGATGATAATTAGTTTGATAATTAGTTCAATTAGTTAAACTGCAACAGTTTCTATCAGTCGATTAATAAACTGATCCGTCTGAAGACTCTCTGTCTCATTAACGCTGTTTAGATTTGTTGTTTAATGTTTTAAATAATATATATATATTGACATTGTTTGTGCTTGCTTTGTTGTTTTTATTGTTTTATTGTCTCTGAATAATAATAATTAATTTATAATATTTTGTTTTGCTCAAACAGGTTCAACCTGCATTGTAATTTACTGTTTTAATGGATGTACTTTTGGATTATTGTGCACATTAACTCGAGTTTATCAACACATTTTAAAACAATGCTGTATAACAGTTGGAGGTTTAAACATAAGAATCAACACGATATCAGAAAAACTAAATCTCCCAATCTTTATTCTTAAGTATGATCCTCATAATCGATTTTATTTGTTTGTCTGCCTTTCTAATCTACTTTACCTAGTTTCTACTTTTGTATTTTATTTTGAAATTCCAGGCTTCAGTGACATTTTATTGTCATTCACAACAACAAAGTTTTACAATTAAATTTGGACACAGTTCCCTTTATGTTAATTATTAATAATAGGCTATTCAGATCAGCCTGATACCTGTCCCCGTAACCATGGCAACAGAGGGACACACGAACACCACCGCGCGCACGTTTTCCAAAAAAAAAAACTCCCATCCCGAGGGCAACACAGGCTACAGCCCTGTGTCAGTCAACGTCTCTCTCTCTCTCTCTCTCTCTCTCTCTCTCACACACACACACACACACAGACAGACAGACAGGCAGACAGACAGAAACCGGTTCCTGTGTACAGACTGTAAATTACCACCTGCACAGTCTCATTACATGTTTACACACAAAAAAACAACTTAAAACACAAACAGTTCCGGTTTTAAACGACAGACCGTGAACGCAACACACCGGGTAACGTCAACGAGTCTCTGATTAACGACTGATTGACTTACCGGCTGCTTGATGAGCTCATTTCAGGAAGAACAATAAACAAACAAACATCCGACTTTGAGGATAAAACCCTAAAAAACCCTTCCGGTGGTGGAGGTGAGGCAGAGGGGGGAGACTCACCTGGTGGAGGTGAGGCAGCTTCAAAAACAACACAGCGACTGAACAGCAGCACGTAACCCGAAGCTACCTGCTGCAGGTAGTTTACAGGCCACGCCCCCTCTGAACACACACACACACACACACACACACACACACACACACACACACACACACACACACACACACACACACACACACACACACACACCTGCAGCTGCTCACCTGCACCCCGCTCCATTTATCAGCCCTGACCTCCTCCGCTGGGTCCTAGAGGCAGCGTTCACTGCAGGTGGGGGCGGACAGGTGGAGGGGGTTTCGGAATGGGACGCGGCCCCTGCTGGCCTACTTTACTTTCTCATGAAACCATAAACACATAAAAGTGCAGCGTCAGTCTGAGATAAAGATAAACAAGAGATTAATCTTTAATCAAACACTCAAACAATGTCCTGTATTTATAATGAAACTCATTATAATAATGTATAACACTATTCATACCTTTCAAAATAAAGGTACAGACAGAAATAAATAATAAAGAGTGAAACTTTTATTATATATTTATATTTATACAAATATGTTTTTTATTTCTTTATTCTTGTGTGTTTACTACAAAGCCTGTATGATCATCATTGTTGCCTCGTAGCGTAGCATTAGCTCTCTGCCTCGTAGCGTAGCATTAGCTCTCTGCCTCGTACCTCTGGCCGGTGATCGTGGTATCAGGTCGATAATGCCCTTTGAGCTGTGCATTATCAAGAAGTAATGGACACCTGGTCGGGCATTATTCCTCCATCTTAAAAACAAGGACGGGAGGAGAGACGGGAGGAGAGACGGGTGGAGAGACAGGCAGAGAGACGGGTGGAGAGACAGGCGGAGAGACGGGCGGAGAGACGGGAGGAGAGACAGGCGGAGAGACGGGCGGAGAGACGGGCGGAGAACATAACACACTGTCTGTGGCGTCATCGTGTAACATCAGTGATCCACATGTAAACAAAAGGGCGTCTTCCTCCAACATAATCTATCCAATTATATTAAAGTTATTAAATTTAATTTTTTTTTTTTTTTTTTTTTTAATTTATTATTATAAAATATTTTTTTTAAAAATTTTTTTAAAAAGATCTATACTTAAAATTTTTTATTTTTTTTTATAAAACCCAAAAACCCCAAAAAAAAAAAAAGGGAGAGGGAAAGGGGGGGAGAAAAAAAAAAATTAAAGAGAAAAAGAAAAAAAGATAAGGGGGGGCGGGGGGGGGGTGGGGGTGTTTTTGGGGGAGAGAGGGGGGGGGGGGGGGGGGGGGGGGGGGGGGGGGGGGGGGGGGGGAAAAAAAGAAAGACAGACGCACAGCAACAACATTATATATAAGTTATTATATTATAGTTATATATAAGTTATTATATTATAGTTATATATAAGTTATTATATTATAGTTATATATAAGTTATTATATTATAGTTATATATAAGTTATTATATTATATTATATATAAGTTATTATATTATAGTTATATATAAGTTATTATATTATATTATATATAAGTTATTATATTATAGTTATATATAAGTTATTATATTATATTATATATAAGTTATTATATTATATTATATTATAGTTATATAAGTTATTATATTATAGTTATATATAAGTTTATTATATTAAATTATATATAAGTTATTATATTATAGTTATATATAAGTTATTATATTATATTATATATAAGTTATTATATTATAGTTATATAAGTTATTATATTATAGTTATATATAAGTTATTATATTATAATTATATATAAGTTATTATATTATAGTTATAATTATATGTTATTATATTATATTAGATTATAATTATATATAAGTTATTATATTATAGTTATATATAAGTTAGTTATATTATAGGTATATATAAGTTATTATATTATAGGTATATATAAGTTATTATATTATAGTTATATATGTTATTATATTATAGTATATTATAGTTATATATATTATTATATTATAGTATATTATAGTTATATATAAGTTATTATATTATATTATAGTTATATATAAGTTATTATATTATATTATAGTTATATATAAATTATTATATTATATTATATTATATATAAGATATTATATTATATTATAGTTTTATATATAAGTTATTAAACTAATTAAAATTAATAACAGACAACAATGTAAAGTCTGTAAACACACACTGAATATTTAGTTTTCTTTATAGATATAAAATATGATGTTCTGGCTCGTAGCGTAACGTTAGCTCTCTCCTTCTAAGTGGCAGTAAATGGAAATTCTGAGGTTTTTGTTAATTTAATAGCATAAAATAAGAACAGCAGAGTCCCAAAACCAGTTGTGTCAACAATTTTCCCAAATTCAATGAAACTACCTTGATGTTTACTTCAATCTCTTCACCGCTCGCTCATAAAGCTCGACTCTGGTGGGACTCGAACCCACAACCTTTGAATCACTTCTTCTGTGTTCAACTAGAAGTCCAACGCGCTATCCATTGCGCCACAGAGCCACATGACCTACCCAGTGATATAGAGTACTAACACTGTGAAGGACACGTAGGAGCAACCGGCATAAAAATTGGTACGCATGTGTATCATGTTCAGACAAGCAAAAAAGCCTCTTGGACCCATACCCCAAACCCAACAGGAAGTCAGCCATTTTGAATTTAGTGGTCATATTCTGCGATTTTTTTGCCTTGTATTTGAACGAACTTCTTAGAGGGAACTCGGATCGACTCGAAATTTGGTGAGTGAACTCTAAAGACATTAGCGATTAAAAGTTGTGGTATTTGTGGCGGTACGTTGAACCCGTGGCGTGGCGTCGGACTTTGACAATTCGCCATGAAACAGGAAGTTGTCATAACTTTAACGTACACGCTCCAATCTGCGACAAACTTCACACATTTAAGAGTCAGAACTCATCTACAATAATTTGAACATTTTAGGTCACACAAACTCAGTTTTATAAGTTACGTTCTCCATTAAGTTACAAAATATGTTTGACATCAGTTCCATTAAAGCCCCCGAATGAAACAGAAACATATAAAGGTGATATTAGAAAATCAATCCAAATACATATCTTCTTTTTTTTATTGAACTTAAGTGTCACAGAGTCTAAAATGTGTCAATAACAGATCAATCATTTCAGTTTTTTAACACATTATTTTCAAAATGAAGACATTAAGAGATAGATAGATAGGTAGATAGGTACTTTATTGATCCCTGGGGGGCACATGAAGGCGTTACAGCAGTTCACATTCAAAGTGACGATTTAAGAATAGAATAAATAAATAACAAAGAATAAACAACAGTAAGTAAACATCTTGACTTAGACCACCTCAGTCTGAGACCAGGACTGGGTCCAGTCCGAGTTCTTGCAGCCAGACGTACGATTGCATGTGACCTTTATTGGACGCCTGGTAACCATGGTTACAGCCAATATCAGTACCCCCTCTTTCAGATGGATTTTGAATTAAACCATTTTAATTCCATTTCTGAACCGTCAGTGGGTTTGTTCTGAAGGACGAAGTTAACTTCAGGAAAAGCTGCTACAACATTACAGTAACAGGTAACAGGTACAACGCTGAGAGTCATCAATGCATAAACCTCTAAACATCAGACATAAAGGTCAAATGAGTCGGTTTTGGAACAGATTTAAGACTCAATAAAAAGATATTTAACTGGGACATTGTCACAGGGTCTGTTTTAGTAAAAGGTCCATTTATGTTGATTTCTTTTGGGTGGATGATCCTGAAAAACTTGAGCTGTCTGGGAGAGAAAACTGAGCTGTAAATGTGTTTCTGATGTCTTGTTAACCCGTCCGGACTCAGAAACTTTGTGTGCATGACACGAAAATCAAATCAAAACCAATGAAATCAAGTCAACTGATCTGTATCTAAAGACCTCAGACCGCCGCTCACATGCAGACGCACACGTGCAGACGCTGACATATAAAACACACAGCAGCCGACCGACAGACACAACAAATCAATGCCTGCTTCTACACGTGTGTCAGTGTGTGTGAGCTCATCTGCATATATGCAAATGAACTCACACACGCTGACTGCCATATACGTCGGCGCAGAGACTTTATCTCTATGCAATTATGTAAATGAGGCCTGGTGTTGTAGGACAGTTACGTAAAACGCCGTATTTTTAAAAAGAAGGTTTAGCAGGAAATTACATAAGACGCAGGTTTCTGAGGCTATTTACAGCCGACACAATGTGCTGGATTCATGGCTGCGAGGAAAGCTGCACGGAAGCCAGAGAGCGGGAAAATGTAGTTCATCAGCTTCTGTTGATAATAATTCATCAATCTCAAAGGATTATTATGTGTTACCGTGTTTGAGCTGCTCTCATTGGCTGCTCTTGGTTTGGAAACAATGCCTGGTAACACAGGATCTGGTATTCCAGATAAACAGTAAAATGTGTTTGTGAACAGATTTGAGGAGAGAAATAGTCAACAACAGAATCTGGATCCATGTCTGATCAGCACTGTTTGACAGTTTGATCTGAGTTTGGTGCATTTTTATCAGATTTTCTTCTTTTTAGTGTATTTTTCATGTTTTTTTGTTAAATTTTTCATTATTATAGGGTGTTCTTTTTGGATTTTTTAGGTTTCTCTGGTGTTTTAAATGTATTTTTTGTGCATTTTTCATGTTTTTACTGTGTTTTTTCGTTGTGGTAGCTGGACAGACTTACTGAGAATGAGCTGTCAATCACAAGGTAGCCCCGTCCTAAAGCATACCCTGCTTTATGGTCTATTTTACTCTAAATGGGACCATCAGCTACTAAATGAACATCATGCTGTATGGAAGAAGACTGAAACTAGAGACTGAGACCATAAACTCATCAGGAAACTGTTTACTGAGGGAATAAATCAACTGAGAAGTTGGCTCATTTCTCCCTAAGACTCGATACTATCAGACTACTTCTGGATCTGCCCCTAGCTGGCCTTCACAGACCTTAAAGCTCTGTCCGTTATATGAACTGTCAGTGGGACCTTTACCTACAAGACCTCTGTTTGTTTCCTGTGTGAAACCAAAGGTGACTTATCTGACTTATTTAACACGTTTTTCTAAAACAACAACAAAGTAATTTTGGTCCTCAAGTCCTCAGAGATCTCTTCAAAGTTTCCACAAGAGATAAAAGTGACCAGCAGTCTTTTCCAGTCGTACAGGAAGGAC